AGATGAAGAAGAACTCCAAGATGGCTCTGTATGCTCCCATCATCCTGTGCATCTGACGCGTTGCTGATCGCGTTAAAGTACTTTGAAGGCAAACGAGACGTGATCCTCTTCTGCATCGACTGCTCCGAATCCATGCTCGAGCCGCACGACGACCCTCGATACGAGGACATCCAAACATGCCATCTCCTCACCGCTCTCGAAGCGGCGATCCAGATTCAGAAGAAGAAAGTCGTCGTGGGCCCGAGCGATGCTGTTGGGATCATGTTCTACAATACAGTAAGCAGCCTGCGCGGATACACACCCGCCGCCATCGCGATTTACATTTACCTGTGCAACTAAACGCACGCATCGCGTCCAGACTGCACGGAACGAGTCTGGGACAGGCTCTGAGATCAAGAAGGGCACATACGTGTATCAAGCCATCGACACCATTAGTGCCCCTAAGGTGTTGGACCTCACGCAGCTAGTCGATGGTCCGTCCATGCGTTTCGATAAATGTACTAGGACCACGTCTGAATCGGCTGCTGTTCTGTGCAGAGGCACGCGAAAATCCTGAACATCTGCGCAAAGAATTCCCCCCGTTGACGGATAGACATGTGCCCATGGGTGACGTGTTTACCAGTTGCAATTGGATAATTCGGGACCAGTGGGTATTTTCGTTTTTCTTTCCCTTTCGTCGATTTGTACATGCCAGTGCGACATTATTCATCGTACTCCTAGGGCACCTAAGACAGCGTCAAAACGCGTCTTCCTCATCACAGACAAAGACGACCCGCACAAAGGCGATATTGGCGTAGAAAGGCTTACCATGTCCGCGCATACAACTCTCATAGTACGTCCTTCTTCCTGAGCCCACAGTGGAATGGACTTGAATGTTTGCATTGTAGGATCTCGTGCAAGCCGGTGTTGCTGTAGAACCATTTTTCATAAGCACCGACGAACGGCCCTTCAGCACAAGCAAATTCTGGGCCGTAAGCACATCTAGGCATTTCTCCAAGAAGCCGTCCTGATTCTCTCTCCTTCGTTAGGACGTACTACTTCCAACGCAACTCGAGGGCGACTCCGAGGACGAATCTCTACTCTCAGACTCAATCTCCATCACCCGCTTCGAGGACCTCTTAGAGCAGATGCGCTTCCACGAAGTGCCCAAGCGTGCTCTATTCAGCATAACGCTAGAACTCGCAGAAGGCTTCGTTATAGGCGTCAAGGGATACGGCCTGGTCACTGAGCAGAAGAAAGGCTCCTACAGGTACTTTGCCGACCTCGGTGATCGGATGGAAGTCGCTGAGAGCCGGACAATCTACATTGATGAGGTATGCGCAAAAATGTTCAGAACGAAGACAGATGCTGAGTCAATTATAGGACCAGCAGGCGGAGGTGGACAAGTCTACTATCCTCATGGGTATGACCTTGGGCGCCAGCGCCGAGGATGAGGATGTCGAGACTGCAGGCTTCGGATCGCGACTTGTCCGGCCAGGAAAGCGAGTAGGCTATCCCACCTGATCATACAAAGTATGCTCTGACCTAGGAACATTCGGTAGGTATTCTATACGCCAGAGGAGGTCAAGACTTTCCGTACGCTGGGCCTGGATCCAGGCTTAAAGCTTCTTGGATTCAAAGATCGAGAGGAGCTCAATTTCGAAGACAATGTCAAGCACTCATATTTCATTCATCCCGATGAAATGGTATGCTACACACTACCAGTAGCTTTGCCGTTGGCTCATGACGAATCCAAGACTTATTCGGGAAGCAAAAGGACATTCAGCGCACTGATCCGCACCATGATCAAGAAGGACAAGATTGGACTCGTACGAGCCGTGATAAGGCGGAATTCTGCGCCGATGTTTTGTGCCATGCTTCCACAGGTAACATTTCCTCATTTCCTCTAGACGTCATATCTGAGCATTTCTAGGCGGAGAAAGTTGAAGAAGGCGGTTGGAGCGAGCCTGCTGGTATCCACCTTATACCCCTCCCTTTCGCAGACGATATCCGTGCTGCGCCCGTTGAAGAGGGCTTTAAAGGTATATATTCGTCTACCCCTTTACTCTCTACATATCGCATCCTCATATCCTACTTCAGCATCGCAGGACATCGTGGACGCTGCTATTCCTATAATCAAAAAGCTGTCTATCAAGAGCGGTACCTACCCAACAGACTCCTACCCGAATCCGGGTGAGATATTCTAATTGTCGTGAAGAGAGAACTACCATCTAACATAATCACAGCTCTCGCATTGCACAATGCGCAGCTCGAAGCCAGCGCCTTCCGAGAAGAGTACGATCCTGAGTCGTTCGAGGACCTCTCGTTGCCCAAGTACAACTCCATACGCAAGGTCCGTACCCCTTCTCCCTCTCTGCTTTCTGATGACCTATTCACATACCATGCTTCGCCACGAATAGAAAGTTGGGCCCTTAGTCAAGGAATGGAAGAAATTCGTGAGGGACGACGAGTCTGCCAACGCGATCATCGTAACGACTGGTTCCAAGCGCAAAGCGGCGAGTAATCTTCTTCCTTTGTATCGATGATAAATTGATCGAGCCCTCCATGGTCAGGAGATGCCGATCGATGAAGCAGAGATGCGAAGCAAATATGAAGCAGGGATCTTGGAGAAAGTGAGGTGTCAATGTTAGCTCGACCGTCTTTATTCTGATCATCTTGTGACAGTACAATATCACGCAGCTGAAGGTGAAAGTTCCTTACCCGTCACGCTTGGCCGGCTTGTTAAAATGTCATTTCAGGATTTCCTCAAGAGCAAAAGCTTAGCAGTAGGTGGCAAGAAGGCCGACCTCGTCGACAGGATTGCAGAATGGTTTGATGCACACCCATAGGCAGTTCAGGTTCCGTCTCATTTCCATGATATTGCCTTCTCGTTCAGCTGTTCTTCTTGTCCGTGGCCACGGATACGCCGAAGTGTCGTGTGGCCCTTTCCTCGTGGTGCATGGAATATCCCTCGACACGCAGACAAGATGATTGGCTTCACTTTACCATGCTCCCACCATCTAATGTCCGGATATCCTACTGTATATCTATATACCACAGACCGATTGGGGTCGCTCAGACCTCCCGCGGGCCTCAGACGAACGTTGGTGACCACTCGCTCTCGAAGGCGTCCTTCGAGGCGCACGTGTCGCAGGCAGCATGCACGCACCCTAAATAGGCAAGTCTTGTGGATGGAAACGGTCGCGGTGGTCGTCATGCTTAGACGGCGTCCACACGGTCCCTGTTTCCCACCTCAACAGCTGGGTCGGCTAACCACATGGTCTGCACATACTTCTATTCCTGATGTGCTCAAAATCAGGCGCATGTGTGTGGAGGCAGGGTGCGCGACTCTGCTCCCTTCCTCGCCCTCGCGTCTCTTGAGATCCCAAGTCACTCGCTAGTACTGGCATCGTCTTGCCCGTGTTTGATCGGTGATGCGCTTCTCTCAGCTCGCAGCTGGTGTGTTTGTGGTGGGCGCGACGTTGGCGAGGGGTGCGGTCGTCAAGGAGCGAAGGTGAGTCGTCAATTGTAGATATCTCGCGCATAGAGCTCATAGTCGTGCCTTCATTGCGCAGGGCGACAGTCTGCAACGGGCACGCTGAGCTCTGCGACAGAAGCTACGGGAATGTTACCTTCGTCGGAGGTACGCGGCTCCGTCCTCTAAATACTTCACTCACATACTTACGCTCATATTGGCCTAGCCCACGATTCGTTCGCCTTCAGCAGCGATCCTCTTGCGCGTATGTGCCCACATTCTTCGAGAACGGTAGCTGGGTTTTGATGCCGGACACCGTGTTACAAGTCGCGAGAGATCAGGAAGTCAGTGTGCCCGACCAGCTGAGCCTCGGCGTCCGTCTGCTACAGGCGCAGGCTCACGAGTGCGTATTATTTGGTTGGATCTGTCTCGTGCAGACCCTGATGCATGCGTTTTGCGCAGGAACAACGGAGTTATCCACTTCTGCCATACTAGTGCGTAATTCATGCTGAAGTAGACTTTTCATAACGCTAAACATGTGCGCCCAGGCTGTGTACGTTCCCTGTCTGTGTCTGTCCTGCTTTGTGCTTATTCTGTATAGGCCTTGTTCGACGGCGGCACTGTCGAAGGTGAGCGTCTTTCACATCTAGGAGTGTGACAACAACATCTGAGAGTCACGGATTGTCTTCGTTTTTGCAGCTTACCTCGAGAACGTGGCCACCTTCCTGAACAACAACCCGAATGAGGTGCTGACGCTTCTCTTCACCAATCCGGAGGGACTGTCCCTCCCGGACGTATGGGCACCTGCGTTCCAACAGTCAGGTGTCGCGGACTTTGCATATGTACCGCCACATGTTCCGATGAAGCAGAGCGAGTGGCCGACGCTCGGAAGCCTGATCGACAGCGGCAAGCGCGTGGTCGTGTTCCTCGATGCCGGTGCGGATGGAACAGATGGGTCTGTCGACTATATTCTGCCTGAGTTTGAGATGGTACGCTTCACGAGCCTCATGGCACAAGGATATATTGACCATTCGTTAGATCTGGGAGACACCATTTAGCATCACAAATGCCTCATTTCCATGCTCGGTCGACCGCATTGCAGGACCGCTGAGCACCGAGGACCATATGTACATGATCAACCACTCTCTTAACATCAACCTCTTCGACTCCGGGATCATCATAAGCGATCCGGAAGACGCACCTACGACGAATGGTATCACCTCGTGAGTGCAATATACTCGCCCGTCGTTCAGGCGCTAATTCATCGAATATAGGATCTTGGCGAATGCGAATGGGTGCGCACCACTTGGAGGCGGGAGGTACCCGAGCTTCGTGCTGCTGGATTTCGTCAATATCGGCCAGGGTATCCAGGCAGCTGATATCATGAACGGTTTCGCGTAGTGGAGTTGGATATTTCGTATTTGTATCGCTTTGAGATTGTTGTATGATTGTCTACCGCCACCGGAGATGCAACGATATGGCTCATGAAAAGTGTAACATTGCAACTGTTGCAGCTACATAGTGGGGAAAGGACCAGAAAAAAATGAGACCCTTCCGTGAGTCGAACACGGGACAACACGATATTACAGAACTGCAATCGTATGCTCTAACCACTGAGCTAAAGAGTCACACATGTGGAACATGTGCGTCTAATTCATGATGTGAGTTTGTAAATATCGTGACACCGCTCACGTGGTGTGACTCCGCGCGCCCTTTTGTCACGTCTCTGCGTTTTCGAAAGTGCTTCAATATTGAACCTGCCACCCACCACGCGTTATCGCTCCAGACGACTCTCTTTGAAGCATCTTATCCGCGGAAGTAGCTAAAATCCAGGTAACGGTCTTCATCTCCGCGCAATGCGGTTTCGTGCCACCATCGAGAACGTGCACACGTTCTATCGTACGTGAGGAAGCGCTCCGCCCTTGCCATCTAGGCTGACGCGTGGACGTTTAGTTATTATCCAGACCGTTGAAAAACTGCAGAAAAAATGCATCATCAAATTTAAAGAGAACGAGATGCATATCATATGCAACACGGACGAGAGTGGGGTTCAGATCTGGTCGTGCGTATCCACCCCAATTATCCACAACTTCGGTACTCTATTGCTGACTTGGTACTTCATTGCCAGACAAGTGCGCGTGCAATCACTGTTTACAGAGTATCGGATTCAGTCAAACGCGGATAACGAAATCTCGCTTGCGCTAGCGACAGACGCGCTATCGCAGGCCCTCCGGTCCGCTGCTGCTCAAAACACCGGCGCGGAGGAGGTCGTGATGAAGCTGGCGAAAAAACGCGACGCGGCCGTGCTCAACTTCGAGATCTTCGGCGCATCGAAGATGGGCCGCCGAGTCAAGGTCGCGCACGACGTGCGCATCGAGGTGATGAAGCCAGCCGACATCGCGCGGCTGAAGGAGCCCTTATGTCCTGAACCTGATGTGCGTGTTTCCCGCGTCGATCCTACCGACGCTTGTTGGACGGAACTCCGTCTCGCTGATACCGCGCTTGTTCTCCGATGCCTTGCTGCCTGCTCGTGGCCCATTACGCGACGCTTACTTGTTTGGCTTCTTCTGCGCTGTCTAGATTCACATACTGCTGCCCCCGTTGCCCAAGCTGCGGACGATAGTCGAGCGCCTGCGCCCCCTCGCAGATGTCATCGCTGTCCGCGCGAATGGGTCCGGGAAACTCCAGATATCGGCAGCGACCGAGAGTGCCAAGATGGACGTCGTCTGGGAGGGATGTGCGAATCCGCGGATGGGTGCGTCCCCCACCTGCCTTATCTCCCCATATCACTCGGGGCCAATACTGCCTCCTCTGGCTCACCCTCTGCTGCGCGTATACAGCGCACGAGGGCCTGTCACAAGCGGCGCCGGATGACGAGCCCCCGGATGACGCTGAGAAGCCAGATCCGAAACAGATGTTTAGCGTCCTGGTCCACGTTCGGAGCTTCCTCAAGTTCCTCAACGCACACGTTGTGTCGACGACGACGATAGCATGTACGTCATGCTGCTACGCTGATGCGGGATCCCCACGTGTTGGGCTCCTGTGACTTCGGGTGCGGCGCCGGTGTTGCGAGATCCTGACATGTTGCTTTGCCCCCCTCGCAGGTATCTGCCAGAATCACTGCATGATTCTTTACGTGTATATTGGCGACATGGCGGATGCGGGTGGTGTCCTGACCTTCTACATCCCGGCTGTTCTGGATGACTAGGCCAACGGCACCGAAAGAGCATGTGTGGAGATGGAGACTACTTCCGCCGTTATCAAGTAGGAAGGTCATTGCTGGACTAGTGGGTAGACTGTAGTGCTGGGTAATGATGTGCAACTTCTAATGTACTAGTATTGTTGTAGTTATACTATACCACCCTATAATGATATCCTGATGAAGACGGCAGGGGTCAGCAAGAGAACTGAGAGTTGCATTGTACAGAAGGCCGGAACACAGAACGTTGAAGAAAATGGACAGACAGAAATAACCACCTCCGCTCTCCTGGTAGATGTCGCACCAACCCTCTGTCTAACCCGAGGTCGACTTCTCCCAGCCCCCAGCCTCTACATCCCAGTGCCCCCTCTCCCGCTTCCCTGCGCCGGCCTCCAAATCCGAATGGTGACCGACCGACCGACCCCGATGGTGATAATGAGGTTCCCAGGAAATGAGGCCTGCCTCCAGCTTGGCACTCCATGCTATCGATCGAACACGCCCGGGACGTCCGTCATGTCCAGCAACGCCACGCCCGCCTCCTCCAACTCTGACTCGATATCGCGCTCAATGAAGCTTGCAGGAGTGACGCCGCCGCCCGCCCACACCTCGTGCCGGTCGTACGTCGCGTGTGCGCCGCGGATCAGCAGCACCTCGTTCCCGCGGCCGAGCGCGGCGCTGCACGTCGCGCGGATACAGAAGTCGCTCTGGAGGCCGACGACGACGATCTCCGCGTCGGTGGGGATGAGCTCGGCGAGGCGCGTGCCCGCGAACGCGTTGTTTTTGTGCTTGTCGATGACCGGCTCGCCTGGCAGCGGTGGCCACACGAGCTCCCAGCCCGCGGTGCCCGGCTCGTCGCTCTCGCCCACGTCGCCGCAGTTGCGGACGTGCACGATCAGCGGCGGGGGCGTCGCGTTGCGCGCGGCGGCGAGGATGCATTGGATGTTCGCCTTGACTGCCTCCGCCTCGGGCACGCCCCGCGGGGGGTCGGCGAGCATGGCGACCTGGGCGTCGACGATGAGGAGCGCGCGCCCGTGTCTGGGGCAGGTCTGGGTGAGCATCGTGGGCAGACCGGGGGCGAGCGCGGGGGCCTGTGCGGTGGTGGTGCGGTGGGTGGTGCGCGGGTGGGACTGAGAGGTGATTATTTGCTCATGCAGATGCAGGCGGCGCACGGAAGCTGGTCACGGCGGGGCAGCACGAGTGTGATATGACATGACTGTTCGTGACGAGCATTTACGGCACAACGCTCAGAGCGCGCCTCGCGATCGGCCCACGGCGCGGGGTAAATCTATCACCGCCTCCCCGTGCCGCCATGCTGCGTGCGTGCTCATCCTCCTCCCCGTGCGGCTCGCCAGCGGTGTCTGCAGGGCAGCTGCTCGTCTTCATGCGCATGAAATTTGCCTTTCGACTCCGCGAATATGCGCCCCCAGCCATCATGCCCATCAGCTTCCAGGGCACTTCCACTGGGAATCTCGGGATGTTCCATCCCGCGATCATAGATCGAGAGATATCTAATCTCTCCGAGGGACCAAGCCCGACATTTGGCCATGTCGCCATTCTCGGTGTACTGTGTGTGCTACACCAGTGAAAGAGAAGCGGGTCCAATATTGCAGCGTGGGTCGTTCAGGACACAGTCAACGTGGCCACACCCCCCTGAACAGCAGACCATGCAGACGCAAGCAATAAGGACCAACTCGTAGACATCCGGTAGATTCGTTCAGGAACATCCTTCGCACCCGCAATCCATGACGTCGTGGGGGCCGCCTGCGATCCGCCAGCGAGATCTGGCCCGTCTGGGGATGGTTCTGACAGAACGAACCTGCCGCGAATTTTGTCAGGACAGCTCGAAGCCTCAAAACCCGAACTCGGCCGTCGAGTTATCGAAAAAAAGTCTGCTTAAGTATACAGGGCTGCGATCGTGCTATGATCGGGGGTCCTTGATGAAGTGGAGCTCGCAGAGGCCTTACTGGGAGGCTAGACAAGGCCCGCCCCCTTTCGCCTGATCTCATCCAACGACAAAAAATCATGGCCACGCCGGGCACCTCTTATAAATGCGTGCGGGTATCTGTGAGCCGGTCAACGCTGCAGTTCAGGTGCTCGTGGTGCCTGGGTGTCACAAATACATCCGCAATATGTCCGGGGAAATCAAGGAAGATGAACTGAGGCTCGCAATACGGGTGTGCATCTGGTCATTTTCGAATCGATGAGGACATACAAACGGGACGTTACCCAGTGCGGTAAGGTGAAAACCCACCCGTCATAGATGTCGAGTTTCGGACATTCGCGACTAGTCAAAGATACGAAGCAGATACGACGTAGGATCTACAATCGAGTAAATGTCAGCCTCCCGGCCACGTGGTGTGGAACTCTAATAACCCAATGAATCTGATACGAGTCGACCGTAGTCGCTTGCTGGAGAGTGCCGTGAGGTTCTGCACTCCGAATTCCCGCATATTTCGAATTGCGAAGGCTAAGTCAGAAATTGTGCTCTAGTGATGGGCTGACAATAGCTACCGAATGACGTACATCGAGAAGGTGCGGCCGCCGACTTTCAGCTCACATGGAAAGGCACGCTCATAAAGTGCATCCTGGAACCAGAAAGGGGTTCAGTGAAAGACTGAGGAACGGAATTTTTACAGAGAAGTATTGGAGACGAACCTACCGAACTACTGGAAGACTCGCACAACCTCCCTTGGCTTTGGTATCTACGAGTTCCACCGTTCCCATGAGGTCGAAAGAATGCAGCAGAGCCCCTCATTGTAGCCGGCGGCCCAAACCTGGTAGAGACAGGTATTGTTGTTGGGATCTCACGTTTTGAGAGAAATTTCGTGTTTGTTAGGTTGATGGATGCCGACTAGGCGTGACGCGTGAACCGCCATAAGACCATCATGCTATGGTACAGTACCCTGGGTGAATTTGGGAGCCGAGTGCCAACATATCATGTTTAGACCTACGACCGTACCGGGGAATTCATTTGTAGAGGAATAAGTACTACGTATACTCACCAAGTTGTCCGTATCTCTTATTGTGATGCTCAGAAAGCATCAGTGGAAGGATCATAATGGAAAGGTTTTCAAGTCTTGTGAAATTTCGAAACCGACTCAACAATTTCCAGGAGTTCTAGACTTGAAAGTGTTGAAGTCAACGATGTTGAAGAGTTGAAGTCGTTCAAAGCCAGCGCTGAAGGCCACGGGCGATAAGATAAGAAATTCTCGGGTAGATCTCCGATGACGCGATCTTGTCTATAGTTCCTCCAATATTCTTTCTAAGCCCACCCTACCTTCATCTCACGCACTCTCCTCCTCCTCAACCCTACACAACCCTCCTCAAGCACTCGTAAACCACATATACCATGGCCGACGCCACTTCTCTACCCAACTTTTACGATGTAACCTCGCCGGAGCACTTCCAGGGCCTCCTTTCCGCCGACCT